TCTTTCCGTTGAGATATGAGCTCACTGTCTTATCCCTTTGTGTCAGAGTAGGCTTGTAATTGCTTCGATCATCAGACTATTGCAGAAGTGCCACAATGGTACTTTGAAACAAGGTATAAAAAAAAAAAGCTCTGACTGGGTCTCTTGAGTCATCCCAGTCCAGACACTAGACATGTGAGTGAAGGTGTCTCTGGATAATTCCAGCTTTCAGTCATTTGAGTCACAACCAGCCATTTGAACATTTTGGCTGAGGATATCATAGATATCATGGGGCAGAGAAGAGTGATCTCTGCTGTGCTTTTTCTGAATCTCTGGCCCACAGTATCCATGAGTCTAATAAAATGGTTGCTTTGTGCCAATAAGTTTGGAGTTTATCACATAGCAATAGAAAACTGGAACGTTAGGCTAAAAAATAATATCCATCTATATGCTGTTTTCAGAAGACTGATAATGTTAAAAATAAAGGGCATACAAAGAGATACTAGGAGAATTAAAATGGAAATAAAACAGAATGTTTAACATTAATATCAGACTCAGTGGAATTTAAGGTTAAAAGCTCTAAATGAGGTAAAGGAGGACACTATATATTAATACTTAACAGAAAATTATATCTCAGTCATTAATATGCATCCATCAAACAACATAGCAGATAAATTCAGAAAGCAAAAAGAAGTAGAAATGCAAGAAGTGACAATAAATAAAGTACAATTATACTGGATATTCAATTCACTTCTTTCAGAACTAATAGATAAAAAATAAATAAGGATTGAAACTAAATATCACAATCAATAAGCACACACAAACAGAGGAAAGATCTAGTGGCTAAAAATTAAGTAAGGATAGGGAGAAGCTGATGAATAAATAAAATCAATAAATACGCCCACGCATCTATAGTTAGGAAGGCAGACAGATAGATACATACACACAGACAGAGTGGTAGAAAGACAGAAACAGACTGAAAGTGATAGATGTAGAGAGAGACTCTTACATCCTTTGAACAGAAAATATACATTTTTCATAAAATCAATCATATTCTTCAGTAAAAAATTTCTAATAAAAATGTAAAAAGTACACCATTTCAGTCATTAGTTTAAAATCCCTAATAAATTTTTAAAAATTAAAATGCTTTTAAGTTAATTTTTAATCATTTTTAATTAAAAATGATTCATGATCTGATAGAACTAGGAAAATGTAGTACAAAAATGAACAAATACATAATACAAAAATTTCTTACAACTGTTCCTTAGATATGACATCAAAAGCACAAGCAACAAAGAGCAAATAGATACATTAGACTTCATCAAAATTAAAAAAAAACTTTTGTGCTTCAAAGGATAATGTCAAGAAGGTGAAAACAACCCGCAGATGGAAGAAAATATTTGCAAAACAGATATCTAATAAATGGCTAGTATCCAGAATACATAAAGAACTACGACTCAACAATAAAAATAAAAATAACCCAATTAAAAATAGATAAATAATTTGATAGATATTTCTTCAAAGAAAATATAGAAATGGTTAATAGGCACATGAAAACATTCTTAAAATCATTAGTTACTAGAAAATGGAAAGCAAAACTAGTGTGATACCACTCCATACCCACTAGACTGGCTATAAGAAAAAAGACCATAAGAAGTGTTGAGAAAGACGTGGAAAAATTGGAACCCTCATAATTTGCTGGTGAGAATGCAAAATGGCGCAACTACTGTGGAAAACAGTTTGGAAATTCTCAAAAAGTTAAACACAGAGTTAATCATATGACTCACCAATTCCACACCAAAGATTTGAAAACAGGTGTTCAAACAAAAACTTGTACGCGATGTTCTCAGCAGCATTATTCATAATACCCCACAAATGGAAACAACCCAAACGTCTATCAATTGATGAATAAACAAAACATGGTCTAGCCATAAAATGGAATATTATTCAACCATAAAAAGGAATGAAGTACTGATACATGTTATAGGGTAAATTTAGAAAACATTACGCTAAGTGAAAGAAGCCAGACACAAAAGGCCACATATTATGTGATTCTGTTTATATGAAATATCCAGAACAGGCAAATTCACGGAGACAAAAAGCAGATCAGCGGTTTCCAAGGGTTGGGAGAGGGGTATATAGGGAGTGACTACTAATAGGTTTGGGTTTCTTTTTGTGGTGATAGGAAGGAATGTTCTGGAATTAGATAGTGGTAATGATCCACAACTTTGGGATATACTAAAACCCACTAAACTGTACACTTTAAAAGAGTGAATTTTATGACATTTGAATTATATCTCAATAAAAAGATGATGATGGCTTTACAAGATTGGTCTCCAACTCTGTCTCCAATCAATGTCCCTATCACTTACCAGGCTATGTATACATTGACTTTATTTCCTTTTTATTAAACCAGTTAGACAGTTTAACTGGTTTAATACAAACCCAAGGATGTTTGTATTTGTGATTGCCTTTGCCAAGTATGCTCAAGTATCACCTCCATTCTCTACAGAGTGATCTTTTAAATTGCACATAGTGAGGTAATACATTGATAATAACCTGTCATAAAAACAATCATTAAACTAGAAGTTTCAGCATTGGCATCAACTGCAATAGACACCCCATTCCCGAGTGAGGAACTGGCCAAGATGCAACATTTGCAAAGGAGAAGGTGTGTGGAATCTGGTCATATGGTTCTTATATCCTTCACTCATGTCGAGGATTTAAAGGGATCAGGAGCTGGCAGGTAAGAGAGGGAGAATTTATTTGGAGAGAGCTGATGCTGTGCAGTGAGTCCCTTCACTCCCAACGAAGAGGAGAAGTGTGTGTGGATTCTTTTCTCTTTATGTCAATTTGAGAGAGAAGGATTTTAAGGAGTTCACTCGGCTAATAATGCATTGCCTGAATTTTGTAGGAACCCAGTTGATTGGTACCTATTTCCTTCTAAAAGATCTAAAGGGTTAGCCACTGGCTTGTATTGGGCAAAGAAGAGATATCTACTGTACATCCCAAGTTTCTTGGACACAGCTGAGTATTTCCCAAGAACTAGAGGTGGGTCAGGTGTGAGAGATTTCTGATGCGGGGTTGTTTAGGTTCTGTCCAAGAGGACCACCTGGAGTTGCAAATGGACT